CAGCAGGACAGAAACATCTGCAGACCATAGTGGTAGGCAGAGAAAGGGGCTGCAGAAAAGGAAAGATTGCCAGGAGCAGGAGAAAGCAAAAAAAGGAACGGGTTACTTAAAGCCCTCAAATAAACTAATTTTACAAATATTTTCTATTCACAGGGGCCGTTGCTCCACAGGCTGAAAAGTCTCCACGCGGGCTTTTTAGGAGACTGTAGCACTTACCTTTATACGATATAATGCTATCACATATCTCCTTGAAGATCTGCGCCAGGCGGGCAGCACGAGCCACCTCGATGTTCTCCTCGGCCGCTGCCAGGCGCCGTGTCCGCACGGAGCGCGCGGTCTGCAGAGCCGAGAACTGGGTCATGAAGACGTCTGCAACGGCACAAAGAAACGGGGAAACAGTGCTGAACAAAAGCCGAGTCAAAGAGCAAATTAAAGCACCTGCTCCAACCCAGCAACTCCACCAAAAGCTACAGGTACATGAGGGTTGTAATCACTTCTTTGATGCACACAGAGAACGTACTGAACTCTTTATGAACATGTCATATAGGTTCTCAAAGGAATAGGAGCAACCCGAGGAACCTGTGTTGGCCTCACCAGATTTGATGTTCCCATCGTCCCGACACATTCCGTTCCAGCGGGTGTACAGCGACGCAGTGTGGATGTTGTCACTGACGTGCTTCACTTCCTCTTGCTTCTGCCGAATCTTCTCCCAGTTTCGTACCAGAAATACATGGTGTTTTAGCACAAAATTCCTACGGAAATAATTTTTCAAAAAAAGACAAGAATCATTTTCTTTCTCTAAGGTCCTATTTTATAGGAAAAAAGTAATTATTTTCAGTTTTTGGCCATTCTCTGTTAGACATGGGCTTCATCTGAAGCTGTGGCATGAGCCGCGTTGGCGTGTTCACACTTTCACTGGGTTCCTCCGGCATGTGACCCTTCTGAAAAACAGATAATTCTGGTAGACAGGGAAAAACAGGCCAAGAACGTAGCAAAGTCAGAGATTCTGAAGTTTTTTTCAAAGTTTAAAACACACAAATTCATGCTTTTTGATCTGCTGGCACAAAGTGATCTCCCATTAACCTACATCCACTAAATAAGCCGGCTTCAGTACTCACTCTCTTCTTCAGTTTGTGCTTTGACTTCCTCTTCTCTTTGGACCGCCCGGTTCTCCTGTGGGTGCTCACTGGCTGGTTGCTTTTGCTTGAAAGTCCGTTCATTCGTTGACTCTTGCCCCCAATTATTCCTCTGCATTTGTCAAAACCACATTTGCAGAGTTGCTTGGGAAAGAATAAAAAAGAGAGACTATTTTAAGCAAAAACCAAAACACTTAAAACACTTGTCAATGCTCTCAAACACCTCTTTGGTCAAAGTAACATGGCAGGTTTTGTTAATCACCCTTCAACTTTAGAGAACTGTTTGCCCTCGATGAGTTACATACAGGACTTGTATTGTGATCCTTACCTGTTTTTCAACATTAAACGAGTGAAAATTGTAGTCATATGTCAACTCCGTACCAGCGGGCATGTCCTTCAGTGCATACAACCCAATCCGGTAGACACCGTTGACAGACCTGAAGAAAACAGAATAAAATATTTCCAGCATCAACCAAGGAGAGAGCCTCTGCTTACACAGCGCTAGAGACAGGAAGGGATGCTGCTGCTGTGCCCCAAACTGAGTTGTTTTTCTCATTTCTACCCTTCTCCTCCTTCTCTGACAGACGATAAGATGAGGACTGTGCCATCCTTACAAAGAGCACAGAGCTGCGCTGCAAATGGGGAAGGAATCTACAACTGCGGCTATCACGACCAGACTGCCTTTCTGTTGCCAAGAACTGAACATCACAGATCACTTCACAATACGTTAAAATGTATTAGCTCTCTAATTCCTTTACTTAAAAGCTGATTAGTATTGTTTAAAACCACTAGAATTACCCAAGAATTGCAAGTCTACTTATCTTTTGCAATGCAAGCATGCCAGTTAATACTTTTTTTTCCCCCACTCTATTCAACTTGCTTCTCCCTACTTTTAGATCAGTTTCTTTACGTGATCTGCTTATCTATATTTTAGCCACTGGCACACCACTGTCCCAGCAGAGAGAACAAATTTTTCTTACCATTTCTGCATCTCACAGTTAGGATTACAGCTGTGGTTGATAAAACGAGCCTCATTGCCCATACGATAGCTATCTATCACCATTCCACTGTCTAAATTCAGGCAGTAATGATCACTGTGATTGTGGTACTGTTCAATCATCCGGTTCCTAGGAAGCAACACAGGAAAGGTACTTGTGATTCTGCTTGCTGCTGCAAAGGAAACAGGGAGCGACAAAGCAACAGCGCGTTCAAGAATCTGAGAGAGGGTTTTGAAGAACAAAACAATTATGATGCTTTGTATTTTATAGTATCTTACACCTAGAGATGGAGGAAAACCATTATAATACCTATTTTTATAAGGCAAGGCCACTGACAGAGCTTGGATTAGAATTTAGAAATGTTTTCTTCTGGAATGCTCCCTTTGGGTTCTGCAGATTATTAGTGTACATTTCATGTTGGTAACCTGTGTATGGAAGAGAAAATGCAAGTACAGGCTCCCGGCTGCGGATGTGAACGCATGTGCCAGCAGTGAGTCCCCTCCCCTCGTTCTCTGGGGCTGGACACAGTGTCTGGGGTTTCATCCTTAATTACAGCCACCTCCTTTTAGCAATAGAGGAACAGTGATGGAAAAGTCTGTTGCATTAGCACCCATCTCCAAAACGTATTTGCCTTCTGGCAGAGCTCTAAGCAAGCGCCTCCAACCTCAATTATCCTACCAGGTAGTTGACACGACTATGATTTCTTTTTTTCTGTTGTTATTAATGCACCCTCTTTTCTTTGTCTTCCTATCTATCTGGAGAAGCTCATTTCCTTTCCGGCCCCGTTCTGCCTTCTGATTTATCTCGCACAATTAAAATCCAGCAGAGTGCTCATAACTCTATCACATTTAGACTCACTTGCAACATTTGGCATCCACAGATGTGGCAGATGTTGCTTTCCATACACTAACCACTTCTCTACCTTTGACTGAGAAAAAGTTGGTTGATCAAAACCACTAAATTCTCAGCCTTCCTTCTGGTGGCAGTGCATAGAAACACTTTTTTTTCCTCCTTTCCTCTCTTCTTCACCTCCCTTTAAAGATTTCCCATCAATAATAATCAATGTCATTCATTGAGCCTCCCATGCTAAAGCAGCAGATAAATATTTCTACCTGAATTCCTGCTCACTAACAACTTCTCCCAGATATTCAATGATAAACTGTCCTGCTTTCAGGGGTTCTTTGGTACGAATACCCCATCCTTTCTCCTCGGCCCGGAACCTCTCCAGGCACTGCACCCATTCATGCCTCTGGATCCGCTGGTTACAGCACTGTTCACCGCACGGGCAGGTGTTGGGCGAGCACTCCGCAAAGATCATCCTGCAATAAGAAACCAAAGAGGGGAAAGGAAGATGAAGAACAGCTTTTAGGGAGTTTTCGCTGCTTGCACAACAGCTCTGTGTTAAACCAAAGCCCCTGACGAACTAAAATGCTTCTTGTTTTCAAGGCATAACTCTCACAAGGATTCACAACAGGGAACATGTTTCTAACCTGTTAAGACAGTCCTCCACGCAGCCCTTGCCGTTGCCATCATCTGGTTTCTTGCAATTGCAGGTAGTGGCCTCATAGCCAGAGAGAGGCTTGACATCCACATAGACATCTGGAGAAAAGAAAGAAGGGGAAAGATTCTTTTCAGATCAAAAGCAGAGCTATTTATTTACAATATTTTTATTAGGATTACACAAAACAGAAAAGGGGGTGGAAGGATCTTGAGTAGGACAGAAAGTGTGGCAGAAATGAGAGATGTCATGTGAAGATTCCAGTCCCACCGCTTTGCGTAAGCGCATATTAACACATTTAAGTAACAGAGAGAGTAAGAATTTACTTACTGGAACGGATTTTTTTATAAAGTGGGACGTCTGGCTTCTTGTACAACTAAAAGGAAGAGAAATACATTTTTAATACATTGTGTAACTGCAACTGTTAGTCAAAAGAACCACAGAAATCACGTTCTGCTCATATGTGAAAGTTTTGTAATAATTACTCGAAAAACAGATACAGAATAGGTTAGAAAGTGCACCTAAATAAGCATATCTTGAGCTAAATGACTCAAGCGTTTATTTCCCCCATATGATCTCGGCAGAACTGCGTGGAAAACAGGACTATTCCGAGGACTATTCTGAGACTATTCTGAGCAACATTGTTCTTTTCAGTCCTAAAAATAATTATTTAAAGCTAATTTGGAGAATGTGTCTTTGGTGCATTTACAGCATAATGCTTAGTGAAGTGAAAAGGATTAAAAAAGATATATAAATGGGTCATCAAAAGTGTGTCTCCAGGTAGAAGCCAAGGGAAATGCAGATTCATTTTCTAGTTAGAATCATTTGTTCTACGGGGGGAGATGACAGGAGGGAGAAGGGAAATTTAGATCACATTTTGTAACTTGATATATACTTAATCCTTTCAAACAAGCTTTAAGAACAATTTCAGAGTATGCAGATTTAGTGCCTTAACAGCACGGCCTCAGTATGAGCTATGGCAGCCAGGCATCGTCCATGCAAACTATTCTGTAAAGACTCTCAATATTTTAGGCAGATAAGGAAAATGTCAAGAAAATAGATCACATATATTTGTTATTTATGCAATGCTGAATTGGTAAGACAGGCAGCTGTAAGTGATCTTCAGTACACTGCAAACAACGCTCTGCAGCTGAAATGTCAACTGCTGTCATGACTTTCAGATTAGATTTTGGTGCTATTGCAGAGCGGAGCTGGAGCCACAGCCACCTGGGAATCCGTCCTGCTCATCTCCATGGTTAAGTTACATGGATTAGAGCAGTGCCCTCCTGAAGAGCTGGGGACACATTTACACTCCTGCACTGAATCTTGTGTTAAATCACTCGGTGGAAACTTCTCAGGGAAAAATAAAACCCTATTTTTAGGTTTGCACATATTTGAAGCTCTTTAAAAAGAATGTGACTGTTAAACACTTTCTCTGCTTCCTCAGTATGAAAATTTCAGCTCACAAGTGAAAAATAAATTCCACTCTGCTGGGATTGATCCAAGAAAAATAAGGCCTGAAATTTCTCAGTGCTGTTGGCAGTACATCTGAATTCTCTTGAGGCGTGTCTAAAACAAGATCATTGCACAAGCAGGCAGGCTACCAAAATAAAAGTCTGCAGCAGAATTAATGGCACTTTTTTTTTTTTTTTCCTGCAGAAAGACACAGGATTGCTATTTTGCAAGAGATGCAAAAAAAGGAAATTATTCACATTCAATACACATGCAAATCCTCTTTTTTTTTCTCCTCACACAGTAGCAGCAACAAGAATATTCATCAATATACAGAATATATAAACAGAGCGTTCATATAAGAATGTGTTATTTTCTTTCCACGACTCCTGAGCCTAATCTTGGCACCTAATAACTTTTTATCTTGTACCTGATTGTGTTTCCATTGCCAGAGGATGTCGTAAGGCAGCTGGAAGTCGATTCTCTTTTGTCTCAGATACTTTCCTGAAACAAAAAGAAGTTTCTATGTTGAACACACTCACATTCTCCCATCCCCAAGGGGAAAGGACTGCTGCTGGGCACCCCCACGGGAGCTGGAGAGGGTCTCCAAGGAATTACAGTTCTGCACTACCCCAAACCCCTCTGAATCCATGTTGGAAACAGGCTGTTCCTACAACCTTTACCAAAAGTGACCTGAGGATCCATTCAGACCTGGCAAAGCCCTTCCTTGCTGCTTCAGAAAGCCTTCAAGATGACCCATGTTTTCACCAGTAACTGAAACTTGATTTAGACAGGAATTGCTTTTATGGTAGATTATCTTTATTCAAAAACTTACTGCCACTCTTATCCTCTTCCTAAGAGAAGGGAAGGGACCCATTACAAAGCTGTTAATGTAAGAGCTGGGGTTTGACACAGGCCCTACATTAGCCCTAGCTGAGACTAAAAACTTCTCCTATAATTTTACTGGGCTGCTGCTTCACAAAATTGCTGTGAGAAGGGCAATTAACAATGAGGTTTCCGACCCATGCCTGATTTTCCCAGCTTTTCTGAATGTTAACAAGTGCCTTCATGTTCCCCCGGCAAGAGTCTGTGGTTCCCTGTAAATGCACATGCATACCTTCCCCGCCAAGGAAACTGCAAAAGGAAAATTGCAATGTTTCCCTTGCAACTCACTCCTGAAGCACTTATTTTCAATGCTTTATTCAGCCATAGCAGGTTCCAGGAAAGAGCTAAATCTGCTGGGAATTTGCTTTCACTTCCATGACCTCACTGGGCAAAACAAAAGGCTCTTTCAAGTGCCCTGGCACCGTGCCCAGGGCTACGCAAGGCCGCATCCACCAGGCACTAGGAGTTACTTGGCAGAGCCCGAAACTTCGCAGCTCTGCTCGTGGTTCCTCCACACTCCGGCTGCTCGATCCCGGGTAATTAAACAATCTTATCTCCACCAAAGAAGCCTGTTTGCTCCTGCTGCCACAAACTTGAGGTCCCGGTCTTGCAAAGCGAAGAGGGAAGGGGACTGCTGCGCTGCAAAGCGAACCTGAGCATCCCGCAGGCTCCATCCCGTGACAGAGCTCAAGGATTCAATAGAGAACCGGGAAAGCTGACATGTTTGGGAGATTTTAACTCAACACCTTCAATTCTGAAAGCCTATTCCTTAAAAATTACGGTTACTGATTTACACAGAATGCTTCGGACGCTGTTTCTTCCCTATGAAAGCTGCTTAGAGAGCACAAAGGAAGTAAGACAAAGCAGCTGAACTGTTGTACCAGATGGGACAAACATTCCTGCTCAACAACATAAAATTTCCCAAGTTGGCTTTGCATGATTGTACTTGAAGCGTGAAGCGACAGCACCTTGCAAGCCAAAACACTTATCTTAGGAGCAATAAATCAATCTCCGTCGGTCCTGGGAAAGCAGATCTGCAGCACCTTTAGTGTGGGACTTCCCAGCTGTTCCCTCCAGGCTGTCCAGCCCAGGGGTTATCCAGCCCTTTCCTTACAGTTTCTGTCTGTGGAGGGCTAAGAGGAGACTTGCACCTAGTCTATGTCCTACTGAAGACCTCAAAACCAGAGTGGAGCAAGGATTTAAATAATGTCCAAGTTTTTCATTAATTTGGATGTAGCCTCGGTGGGATAGTTGCTTCGCAACTATTCGAGCATGTGGGAAGAACTCACCAACATGAATAGGGGCCGGAAAGAGGCCGTGCTCGTGCTCTCCCGGAGTGTATTCCAGCTTTTCCTTCTTCAGCTGGATGAGGCGGCTCTTCGGACTGCGGATTAGAGACAAGAGGGACAAAGAAGATGGCAGTCAGGAACATTTCTGTGTGTGATACCACATACTAATATGTTACTAAAGTCTATTAAAACATACGGAATATGCTTACATTTAAATGGTACACGCTTGCATTTAACTTAATGCATACAGGTGGGCACAGAACAATGAGTCAGATTTTAGGATGAGAAGACACTATTATGATTATTTACAGGAGAGTGTGTCTCCGTTTCACAGGTGAGGAATATAAAGTGCAGAGAAACAGAGAAGTTAAGTGACCCAGACAGCAGGGCAGGAGCATGACCAAAACACAGGTCCCCTATTTCCAGCCTGGCTGTTCCAGGACACATCCCCAGTACAACGCTGTAGTGAGAGCAGTTTCTAACTGAGGTTTGTCAAGCACTTTTCTTTAATCCTTCCCCTACAATATAATTCAAGAAGATTTATTTTAATAATTTATCAAATATTGTTAATTGTGTTTGGTGAAGGAGACTCTGCACCGGTCTGGAAAAGCCGCTGCTGGGCGAACAGGTAGCGATTCCCATTGGGAATCAGCCACCTCTGGAGCTCTCCTCGGCAGAAGGACCACGGTCCCCCCGGGGCGCTGAGCACGGCGGCCTCATGCACACAGGAGCCTCAGAGCAGCTCACAGTGTCTCCAGGAATCGTGTTTGGAAACTGAGGGAGGAAATCTGGGAACTGAGGATTGAGCCTGGCTTCAGGAATCATCCCTCTCTTCTTGGTCCATCTGCAAGGCCCCACATCACATTTCGATGCTGATTTATACTCCGAGTCTGAGTTTCCTTCACTGCGTTTTCAGCAGGCTTTCTAGACCAACACGAGTTGGAGGAATGACACCCTGTTGAGTCAAATTGCACAACAAAAGTTCTAATGATGTTTGGGAAGAAGGCAAGAAAGACGCAGGGAAGCAGGAAAGGAGTTTTTAAGGTAAAGAAGCATCTGCAGTTGAACACGGCAACAAGAAGTAGGGAATAATGACCGGGGCAGCACCACTTGCCAGGGAGCAGGCAGGCAGGTGGAAACGCTGCCAGTATTTAACTGAACCAGCACTAGAGGGGGCCACACGACTGCAGAGCTGCCCGTGAGCGGCAGCCAAGGCCGGGCGTTCACCCCGGTGCAGCGCGAAACCGTACAAATATTAGAATAACATGAACTTCTACTGTCCTCCTGCACTGACAAGTGTTGGACTGTGCAGCAGAGCTGCAGCGGGGACTTACACCAGCAGAAAGATAATTAGAAGAGGGAAGCGACGATCGTTCTGCTAATTTACCTTCCTAACCGACCCCGGGAGACAAGATGTAGAGCAAGAAAAGGTGAGATGAGTCCTGTCAGCTGCAGATTGCCCTAGGACAAGGTTTCTCACCAGGGGCAATGCCTATGAACCTTGACTTCCAGTATTTATACATTTCTTTTAAAGTAGATGTTTGCCTGCTGTTTATGAAATAAGAGCCCTCTCTTGCTGATTGCGAAGGACAGGATAACTACCATTTCATCATGAAGAAAAGACAGATCCTCTCCAGTTCCCACCTAAAAGAATCAAACTAACTTCTGCCCTGCAACACCTGAATGCTGCAAGACTTTGTGCATCAGTAACAGATCATCCAAGTGCTAAAAAATCCAGCAGAGCTGCAAAAGAAATGGCTTTGGAGCTATCAGAAACATGTGTGGTCTCACTCTGATCAGACTTAGGTCTTTATTGTTTCTTTCTTAGATTCTTGATTCCTTCATTGATGCCTAATGGAAAAAAATGTTAAGAATGCTCGCTCTTCCAAGTCCTCATAAAAGGGAAGGAGATAAACCTCACTTAACTGCAAAATGAACAGGAAGCGTCTCTGAAACGCTGCCGCTCCATGTGCGTGTCAAACAAAAGATGACCAGATCACCATCCAGGCAGTAAAAACAGAAAATTAACGGCCCTTTCCTTACGTTGGCATTGTACACAGTACCTGAGCATCTCATCTCTGCCAGCACTTTGCTGCCACGATCGTTAGGGCTGTCGGACGAGGCTCTCTTACCTTCTTCAAGGTCGGTACTCAGAAACACTCTCAGATTGCTGCAGGCTGCTTTCTGACTGGGGTTACATTTTAAATCTTCACTGGGTCAGATTCTGATAATTATCATGCATGTAATTTTTCACAGGCTTGCATTAAGTTGATGGTTTTATTTCAGCTGCTCATTAGCGGCAGCTCTTTATGGCTCTAGTTGAAAGGAGACAGTTTCCACCGGAATATCAGACAGCAGCTTTTCACTGGTATTACTTACTCTGTTGTTTTGTACACATCAGAGTAGAGCCCTGCCTTCTGGTACTTCTTCTTTGGGGGCCGAGGGGCTTTTTTCTCACGCTGGGTAATAGAAGGCAAAGGCTGTTCACTGTTTTCAGATTCATGTGGTTTCCCAGGGGCATCGTGTGGACTGGAGGGTTCAGCTGCTGTCTCGGAAAAACTGGAAGAAAATGGAAAGATTATCTTACTGCCCCGCTTGATTGTTCCTTCTTATAGTATGGAGAGTTACAAAAGCCCCTATGTGCGGATTTCTCAATCGCTGGATGTCTTAGCGATGTCAAAAACGCAATTCCAAATATGAACGTGATCAAGTAGTGATTAAGCATAATGATACAAAATGGAGGATCTTTTTAGAGTAACATTATTATTAATTAATACAAAAAGAAAGTTGTTAGCTCAGGAATTCTTACTCCTTGGAGCCTCAGAGTTAGAAGTGGCCTTATACCATCTTCTTCTGTATTCCAAAAATAGCATATGGCAAGCCTTTTTTTAGACTTCAAGACAGCCATACAATATATCCTTTTGACATGTGGTTGCAGCAACATTCCCTGAAGCTGAATGCCTGTATCTCGGCATTTGTTTTGGGAACAGAAACGGATTTTTCAGAATTATGCTGCAAATACAAGAAGCGGGAGCCTTCAAGAGAAGTTTGCTCTGTTGGTATCAGTGAGCTCAGGAATAAGCAGGAGAGGATTCGAGCAGACAGATTTCTTGCTCCTTTGCTCTCACTCTCTATTTGCTGCATATCCACTGATCTCACCCAACACACTCCGTGCTGCTGGGGAGTGTTTGTTTATAATGCAGATGAGTCACTCTCTTCCCATGGCGCGTGGAGCTATTATAGCTCCTTATTCAGCACATGATATAGGAATGATCTTTACTATCTCATCAGTCAGCCTGTTACCAGCTCACTAAAAAGCTGGTAACAGCTGGAGCAATCACAAAACCAAGGCAATCACAAAACACAAACCCAGTACTTTTAGATTACTGCAAATCTATCTCATTTGGGTGCCCTGTGTTCAGTAGCTTAGAAAAGCCCTGAACAAACCTCAAACTGGCACCTTGGTTCTCCTTAAACTGAACTTCTTAGAGAAAACAAGTGTGACGAGCAGAGCTTGTGAGAGGAGGACTCTTTCGCGAGTTGGAATGCTATAAAGCCCCACGATGACCATACTCAATGCACAGAACCGTGCGGGCGTTACCTCTTACTGCTCTCCCGCTCATCTTCTGCTAGAGACTTTGGTCGTTTCCTGGCCTGCTCCTCTGCCAGCCACCTCTTCCTCTTCCAGCCTTTCCGGTGATCCGCGTTCAAGTTCACGCTTTGCACGACGGCCTCAATGACGTCCGTGATGGTGTCGGGCCCCAGGTGCAAGGGGCTGCTGCTCTCCTCTCTCTTCTCCAGCTCCTGGCTGACGAGCCGCGCTGCCTGGAACGCCTGCATGGAAACCACTGCCTGCATGGGGTATTTCCGGGGCCTCCCCGGCCTGCGCTTCACAAAGTTGTTCCCTGTCCGCGCCTGCCTTTGCAGCTTCTTGGCTTTCAGGATCTTGTTGACGTGGTCCAGGTTCTTTTTCGTGGCCAAGATCTTGTTGTAATTGCACATTTTCCTGGCTTGCCGCTGCATGGCTTCCACCACGCTCCTCTTGAGGTGGTGCGGGGAGTAGCTGCTGGGCAGGCGGTCGGAGAGCAGGGAGATGGGGTCGCCGCCGGGCACGGCCGCGGCCAGGCCGCCCTCCTGCTTCCCCAGGCCCCTGTCCCGGCTGTGGCTGCGGGGGGGGCCGGCCGCGGGGGGGGGGGGCC